AACCATCCATCTATCCACATTTCCATCCAACCATCCATCTATCCACATTTCCATCCAACCATCCATCTATCCACATTTCCATCCAACCATCCATCCATCCAACCATCCAACTACCTATCCTTCTGAACTTCTATCCAAATATGCATTCCTCAACAGATATTTGCTGAGCCCCAACTGCACACTGAGCATAGCTGCTCTGAGTGCCAGGCTCTGGAAGACTATAGTGAACTGAGTGGACAACCACTATGCCAGGAGAACACTGATTCTAGAGAAGAAATTGAATTTAAAAATTAAATAAAACACATGACAGAACAGTTGGTGATAAATACTGTGAGGGGAAACACAAGGTGGAAAGAGCAGGGCATCTTGGTTGGGTGGGGAAGGAGATTATTTTCAGGAAAGTGATCGGGGAAGGCTTCGCTGAGAAGGTGCCTTGGAAGCTAAGCCTTAACCCATTTCCTGTCTGCCCTGCAAATACTCGTGGAGCTTGTGGCTTCAGTGTTTTTCCCAAGGTAACGCACAGATTACAGTCCTACCCTTACCCCCAAAGTTGTCATGAAATATCTCATGTTTATTATTTTGGCATATCATATATAGTAACTGTCTTTGGAAACAAAGACATCATTCTATTTATATGATTATGTTTTAGTAGTGGTATTTCTATTTACAAAATACAGTAAGTTTTTATTGCTAAAAGTTAAATAAATGCTGGCAGTGAGCTGCACTGTTTTTCTAAATAGGAAAAAGAAGGTGAAGAAGCAAGAAAGAGCCACATGAGGTCCAGAAGAGCTTCGTGGATGGAGGCTCTATTAGTCACTTTCCTGTCACTGGGACAAAATACTGAATACCTGTAACTTAAAGAGTTTTTGTGGTTTAGGTGGCTCATGATTTCCAGTGGTTTCACCCTGAAGTTGGCTGGCTCCAAGGCAAAAATGGCACAGTAGAAGGGCGTAGTGAAGGAAAGCTGCTCAATCCATTGCAGCCAGGAAGCAGAGAGAGAAGGGAGGAGCCAGGGACAAGAACACACCTTCCAGGCCACACCCCTAGTGACCCGGCTCTTCCCACCAGGCCCCATTTCCACTCATCAGCCCTACTCAGCAGATCAATTCACTGATGAACAGAGCACCCCCATGATCCAGGCACCTTCCAACAGCCTCATCTTTGAACACATGGGAGTTTGGGAGGGCTTCATCGCTAAAGTACAACAGAGGGCACAGCAAGTGCCAAAGCACAGAGGCAAGAGAATCGCTATGTTTCTCCCGCTTCAGGGACAACAAAGAGGCCAGTTTGTGTGACTGAATGTGGAGAAGTATGAAGGATGCTGGAACTGAAGTGATAATGAGGGCCCTGCAGTTCATGCCCACCAATTGGCCCTTTTCTCTCAAGAACAGAGCCCTTGTAAGGGATCAGAGGGAGGATTTGATTCAGCAATGATGTCAACCTGCAGCCCCTACTCTGAGAAACATGACTTGTTGTGGCTGGAACCTATTATATCTAGATTGCACACAATCCTCTTGGCAGTTCTTAGTATTTAGCAAGTATGAGAAACAAGCCAGTAGAAAATGGGTCCTCCCAGAAATATGGGTCTAAGGCCATCAGTGTGTCACAAATCACAAAGTACCACAGGAGTCTGACCTCCAGAATGCAGCAAAAACCAAGAACCCACAGACAATACTGGAGTCTAATTTTCTAGTGATGAGAACTGAAGTTGACAACTGCTCTCCCTCCAAAGGCAAATCTAAATTTCAGCGGTGCTAAAAGTGTAAGTTCCCCTTAAAGCAAGCCTCCAGGAACCTGGAAACTAAACTCACTTAGCACTCATCTTTAGAATGTGAACAGTAAATAACACACATGAATGAGTAAAGACAGCCAAAAACAATAACCTAGTCTCCTTAATCATGTGTGAAAATGTTTCTTGTGTCTGCTCAGTGTAAAGGAAAGGTTGAATAGTCACTGAAAGGGTGCCAGGGCCCTCGGAACTGCCCCACACCATGCTAACTTGGTGAATTGAGCCATGAAAGCCTCACATCCCACCTGGC